GCCAAATACCCAGGAACTGAAAAGTGGATAAACAAAACAAGGCATATTCATACAATGAAATAAATATTGGGCCGGGGATTTAGCTCAGCGGTTCCACTGCCTGCCTTGGAAGTGCAAGGACCTGAGTTCGATTCCAGGTACCAAAAAAGAAAGGACTATTATCCTGCCATAAAAATGAATGAAGTGTAGACATATCCTGTAATACAAACTCTGAAAAGATGCTAAGTGCAAGACACAACTGGTCACATACAGGACAGCTAAATCCAGAGAGACAAAAAGATTAGTGGTTGTAATGTACAGGGGAGGGTGAGGAGGCTGAGGCAGGAGGATTGCTGGGGAGTTTGAGGCCAGTCTGGGCTACATAGGCAGCGTCAACTTCAGAGTGAAATCCTATGTCAAATCCCTCCCCGCGAAAAAAATGAAAGGGGGAAATGCCAATGAAAGGAGGAGATCAGGGTTTTTTATTTTTTGAGTGAAAAGGTACTGGAATTGGTGCACTTTTGCACAATCTTGTGAAGACACTAAGATACTGAATTATACACTTTTAAAAAGTAAATTTTGTAATATAAAAATGTATCTAAAAAACTCTTACAGAAATTCAAATTTCTACTTCTCATTAGTAAATACGCTTTTCTCCAGAAGTTGTTCCTGTTAGTTGCGACAGCATAAAAAAAGCTCTCTGAAGTTAGACATTACACTATAAATAGAATTTTTAGGAAAATAAAACTGAGGCCAATGAAATTTTCTAAAAATTGGATTAATCTGATATAATTCTGTTTCTTAAAACATGTGCATTTTAGTATCGTTTGTTTTTACAGACTGGAAAAAGCTTCAAGAATACTTTTTTTTTTTTGGTATCAGGGATATCGAACTCAGACATTGCGTTCGCAAGGCAGGAGGCCCGGCCCTCGAATACCTTTTTTTTTTTTAAGCCCAAAATGTGTTATTTTTAATACAGTGGATATTTGGTTTTCCTATATGAAAAGACCTGTTTGAAATGTCATTAAAATAACCATCAATGAACCAAAATCCAAGTACAGTACTGCAGGTGGAACTTTCCAACCTCCATTTGCCATTTTTTAAACACACCATCCCTAGACTCCAGACCCATCCCTAGACTCTGAATCTCTTCCATCGATTATTCCTTCCAATATTAGCTGCGTGAGCTGTTTAATTCTTGATACTTTTAATGTGAGTCTGTCAACTCGGTGAGTAGGCCCTATTTTTAAGATTAAATTTAGTTTAGAAAGGCTGCACAAATATTCTGCAAAATGATTTCCTGGAATTTGGGATATAAAAACAATCAATAGAGCTGTGTAATGTTTTCTAGCTCCTCTGGGATTTTTTTCATGTATTTAGTCAAAGGGTAAAGACAGTCACCAACTTCTGCCCTCAAAAAGTATTATGTATAAAGGCTTCCTGGTTCTAGAACAAAGAAGTATTTTATTGCTCAAAGCAAAAGGAAAATATTTTCCTTCTATTTAGTATTGTTATACCAAAATAGCATACCAATGAAACCAGCTAGGTGCTGGCATGACCTAAGGTAGGTAAACAAAGATAAATTACTGCGTGTTCTTCCTAGAGGGAGAGGGATTTCTCCCACTAAGTAAGATTTATTAAACGAAACTGTAAGGATTCAAATTTTCCTTCACGGGAGTGTGTTGAGTAGCAATTTTAATCAGAAGGTTTGCCAAGCTGCAAGCTGGGCGGGCTGCACGGTGGGTGTGCTCGATCCAGACAAAACGTGGGTAGGGATGACCTGTCAAACAGCTGCTATCTCCTCACTCCCTCAACCGCACGGCAACTTCTCCGGGCGAGACTGCGGAGCACAGGATGCCAAAGCACCACGCGGACAGCCCCGAGCCACCGAAGCAGCAGCAGGTCCAGACCCCGCACCCCCGGGGCGAGCCACCCCTACCCCGGCGGGGCGGTCAGGCTGCGGCTCTGCTG